TAAAAGAATTTGAAGCACTGATATCTGATTTCCTCAGCAAACTCTTTGCTGATAGAGATACAGACAAGTTTGCTAATTATTTTGCTTCAAATTATGCAAACAGATGTGAGTTGTGGGCTAAATGTTATAGAAAAAGATGTAACATCACAACTAACAATCATCTTGAAGCACTGCATCGAGTTTTAAAATATTCTTATCTTGATGGATTGAAAAACAAGAGGGTTGATAGGTGCATTGCGAAGCTTATTAATATGGTGCAAGATAAATGGTTCCAGAGATTTATCAAAACAACAAAAGGGCCAAACACATCAAAGATCAACCAAACAAATTTACGACACAACAGAGCAATAAATTTTCCAGCTAATAATATCACAGAAATCAATGAGTTTTCTGGCATGTGATTTCAGAAAGTGACCCTACTCTTGAATATACTGTTACTCAAATACATACACAGTGCATTAATTGTAACATTGTTTGTAAATGGGGCAAAATTTGTAACAATGCATTTGTATGCACATGCACAGATGCCACGATTAAAGGAAGTGTCTGTAAACATATACATGCAATAATTTTAAAGACAAGACAACCTAATAGAGAACAGCCAGCTAAAACTAAAGAATCAAATGATGTAAAATCCTTTCTTGATCTATCAGCACAAAAATTTAAAAAAATCAGAAACCAAGCACCATATTATAGATCAACTGAGTATCATATCAAAACTTGTAACATCAACAACAGTAAATAATATAACTTTGGGAGATATTGAAAACACACTGAATAAAGTGATTACAAAATTAAAGAACGAAAAGCCGAAATTGAAAATGGTGAACTATGAACCTACAAATAAAAAAAGCAGAGAAACAAAAGAATTTCTTTTCTACGAGAAAGAAAAGAAAAGTCCATGCAGTACTGAAAATATTGCAACAACTTCATACAAGAAAGCTGCTATAGATGCCATTGGAAATAATGAAAACTCTTATAATTCATGATTCTTTTGATCATCATGCATATTGATATCTCATCATGTAAATATATTGTATATAAAATAATCTCTAAATAGTTTATAAATTAAAATATGATGAATTAAAAACAGTATATAAATTTAAAAAGGCTCTTAATCTTGTCACTACTTCATCCTTGCTAGTTACACAAGTAATTTATTAATCAGTTTTTGATCTGCATATTCTGTCGCAGTATTTCACTACTAAATTATTAGTGTAAAGTTCTCCAGTTGATGGTACACATACAGTACAGTTAGCAACATCATTTTACAAAAACATCGACATATAATGTGTTTATTAGGACGTATCACAACAATATGTGCAAAAGAACTAAAAGTTTCAGCATGAAATATGCAGTTACAGATTCAGTCAAATATAGATAGTAACATCATATACAGATAGAGAACATAACAGGAATAACAATTGCACTTGATTATTACAAAGGAAAATCATAATTTCAGTATCTGCTGACAAATGAGAGTGTGCTGGTATTTCTCTAAATAAATGATTAAAAATGCCACAAAAAATATAATAAGTGCTTTAAAATTCTTAAATTCATATAAGTGTAAATCTTAGTGTTTTTGAAAATGCTACTGTATTTTGTTATTGAGCATTTTTGAATCGCTAGTTATTACAATAACAATTTATGAATAGTGAAAACTTAAATTATTCCAAGAGAATTGATTAATAAATTTCATACAGTAAATAAATCATTGGGCTGCAAAAGTATGCAGATATATGACAACCAATAACAGAAATAAAAATAAAATCTTTAAAAATTTTATGAAGTGGCGAAGCATGCAAGAGCTATTTATTTATCTTGTAAACAATACATTTTCAGTAGAATCAGTACTTTAAAAAATTGATATACTTTGGAAACATGCTCTGCAATGTAGTTGTTTTGTGATGAAACTGTTAATAGTGATGCTTTGATAATGCTTTTGTTGATTTGCTCCACACAGTAAAACTGTAGAATTTATGTATACATAGTTCTTGCTTTTATGTATGGATGCAAATTATACAGCTTTTAATTTTTCATGAAACTTGCATACATATTAAAGTCAAGTGACTTTTCAGAATATTACAACATTATAAATCTCACACCTTGAGATTACTAAGGCTTATACACAGATTTCAAAGGAAAATATTATTGATATAGACACAAGTATATAGTTTCCATTAATTAACACATTGTTATTGATGAAGATCTCTTTAATGATTCTTACATAAAGCTATTTGGATTTTTTTCCAGAGGAAAAACAAAGTTTCATTTAAGAAAATAAACCACAGAATATTCTTAATTTTATTATAAACTTTCATTACATCACATGAATCTGTAAACACTGAACTAATCGTTTTTAATTTAAATCACAAATGTATTCTTCATATTGATTTATTGACAGTATGAATAACGACCAAAACTTAATATTATCTGTATATAATAAGAAATCATTGATACATAGGGTAAAAATAAGCATGAAGTTAGACTATATTAGCATGCTAATGGATCAACTAATGGCAAAAGACTTAAAAACCTTTACCTAATCATTTGTACAAGATTATTTAATGAACACAAAATGTATAGGAGTTACTCCAACCCTTTTTTGACCGTGGACACATTCTAACATATATTTTGAGATCTTGTACCCTTATGACTAAACATTCAAACAGATTTCAGGCATGAGACTTTTAAGTGCTTCTTTGTCATGAAATTACCTTATGATCATTTCATTCAACTACTACAAATCAAGGAAAGGAGAATTAATTACCAGTGTTTTATACTTTTAGCCACTTGATAACGTTACATAATATGGATTAACTCAAAGCACATTCTACTGATTATAATCAGATAATTGCATATCTCTTCTGAGAATTTAGATTCTTCCGCATTCATTTCTTTGCAGATCTTGCTCTAAATGGATTTCAATACATATTTACCACTAATAATCGCAAATGATAGTAAATAACAAATTAATTTTTATTCTAAACATGATTTGGGATGGCTGCATAGGCGTTTTCGTGTTTTTCCTCATGTGTAACGTGTATATGAGCCAGTTTCCCTTAGAAAGTTCTCCAGGAAGGCATTCTTCCCTGTAGGCAGTTAGCTCTCGAGTGCTTTAATCAAATAAAAACCTATTTTAAACTACAATTTCAAATTTTGTATTTTGTCCTTATTTATTTCACTAAATAATTGAAGTCCTCTTTAGTACATACACACATATCAGGCGCTATTTTATCTTCATTTACAAAATAAAACAGTTGAAGTAGTTTTAGGACTTTTCTCTCATGGGGAAAAAAATATCTGCATTTTATCCAATTTCCTTTATGAAAACTGAAGTTTTCATACCAAACGACATTCTTACAATATAACCTTCCTTACGAACTCTCTTATTTACCATATAAAACCATTTCGGATCTTTGCTTTGGTAAATGGTCTAAGGCATTTTACCAGTATATGGCTGTCATAATTCCTAAGGAAGCATATTAGAAAAACAAAACGGTCAGCTATACACAGGGTTTAATTTCAAAAATTAGAAGTACCAGAGCCCTATAGAAGACCTTCAGGAAAGAGGAACAAGAATAAATAAGAGAATAAGATGACTAATAAAATCATTAACAATTAAAAAATTAAATAATTCATTATTAAAAAAATTAATGGTTAAAGTAATTAAATAATTAAAATTTAATAAAATGCAAAGTGATAAATTAGAATTTAATAAGCAATTTTTAATATAATTTTATTATTAAAAATAAAGCTTCCAAGACCAGGTTTCTACTGAAATTATTGTTCAGTTACATAAAAGAAGTGCCAAAGCCTTCTTATTTAGGGCTCCGGCTAAAATTATGAATTTTTCCTAAAACTAATAAGTATCTGAGCCAGCCTCCGGTGGGCTCCGACGCAATTTAAGCCCTGGCTATACGGATATCTTGGTAAAGCAAGAGAAGAACCCATCTTTGGTCATGACCAAACATGGCGCATGATGAGTTTTGATTGTAAACCACATGAGAGGCGGAGTTTAAATACGTTGAAATGACGTCACCAGAGCCAACCAATCAAAATTTCCCTGCCAAGTTCACCCGTACGATGCTGCCTCACTGCTACATAGTATGAATGATGACGTGTCAGCGCCAGCGCACATCCATTTTCAGGACGAATTGAGGCCTGGTGTCGGGTGTCCCGAGAGCCGAGAGGTTTTCGTTAGAATTAGTTTTTTGTTTCTTGTCCGAACACAAAAATCTTTCCTGAAAGTGTTCGTTGTCCGATTTGTTCGCTGTCCGAACTATTCTTTAACCGATCACCCACTGTATTGAAATAGTCTTCTAAATGAAACAGTTTTTACTATATTGGAACTGATAGATTAGTAATAAATGGATAAATTAATGCAAAATAATTAATATCCAGTATGGTCACCATATTTTATAATCAATATCGGAATTAAGATTTCTTATATTAGTTTATCATTGAGACATTTGTTAAAGTCATGATTTGTGAAAATAAATACCTCTTGAATTTCTTTGGTATTATTAAGTATTCTTTAAAACAAAATACCTTTTAATTCAGAGTAATGCATTGTTAAGGTACATATTTGTTGCAAATTCTCAAAAAACAGTCTCAGTCATTCATAATTCAAAATATTTCCCAACAATGACCTTAAGTTTGAATAGTTAATAATATAACTGAGTATCCAGAATATTTGCAAATTTAGATAAACAGATGTCAAAACACGAAAATTATTTTTAAATAACTAAGATAGTCAAAAATTTTTTGAATACATAGTCTAGAAAGAACTTATTTTGAATATTACTTGAAATAAATTTTTTTAAGCAAGTATGTAATGAGGCATATAATAGTCGCAATTCTAAGATTAACATTTTACCTTAAAATTTTCTAAATAAAATAAAATAAGAATGAATTTTATTAACGATGGTTGATCAAACTGATTATTAGCAGAATTATTGTATTTACACCTGGCGGTCATAAAATTAACTACTAGTCCAATTCAGATTTTATCATTTGCAGAAGTAAACAACCTGCAATGCTTATGTCATCGTTCGTGTTTTGTGATATGAATAGTTTATCGTGCGATTCTCGGATGAAAAGTTAATTTCATTTGTTCTTGACATTAGTTGATCTTAGTTAAGACTTTAAATTAAAAGGTAAGTTTTCCCAATTTTTTATATAGTTGTCCCTGAGATTAAGTTTATCTTTGAATTTTTGCTTATTGAAGAGGAGTTAACGGTTTGTGACTCATTCTTGTATGTACTTCCATAACGTAAATTCTCTAACGCACTAGTTTCCTGTAATAGAATATAACATTTCATGTATCATTACACTGTTATATTTCTAAGTGTAAAGATAAAATTTATCATCAAAATTTACTTTTCAAAGTGTTTTACTAAAGTAGTAAATTTTTATATATTTAAACTGCTTGTATTGCATGACATACATTTTTAATTCATTTGCTTTGGTGTGTTTAACCTAGTTCTTAATTTAAGTATTGCACCATAATAAATGTATTGTCGGGAGTATTTAAATTGTACTACTGTGTAAAAGCAATTTTGTAATTATACTATCTCGAGGATAAATTGTATGTGCACTTTTGTTATTAAAACTTAGTTTCGAAATAAAATGTGTAATTAGTATCAAAATACAGATTCGAAGTAGAAGTATAATTGTTTTAGTTTCGAAAACATTTTGGGTATAGGTAATTATTATAATAATACTATTGCTGAAATCATTTGGACGAAAAAAAAGTGTTTATCTGAAAGTGCTTTCGATGAGCATTTTGCTCCACTTATATGAATTAATAACTTTTATTGTTGTTACCCTTAACCTGTTTGTAGCCAAGAATTTTTTTTTTTTTGGACATAGTTGCCTGAATTTGATGCATTTTTTTTTTTTTTTTTTTTTTTTTTTTTTTTTTTTTTTAAGTATGCCTATTTTTATTAAGATAATTGCATAAAATACCAGTTTCAATGTACCTATAATGTTATAGATGCCTTTTTGGGCTTGATCCTAGTATCCAGTGCACACGGGATTTGACTACTTTTCGCGACTTTATGATGAGCAGTGAAAACGGGACATATATGATGAGTAGTTAACGGGTCATTCAAAGAAAATATATATTTAAACATAGTATATACTATGTATATAGTATATATACTATGTGTGTATATACATATACTATGTGTGTATAGTATATATATAGACGTTCTTTGGGTCATTTTTTGGTGTTGGCGATAATTTTCAAAGTCGCGCCAAGGCTGCTCCGTATACTAGGATTTTACCCCTTTTTGTAGTAAAGTACTTAATCATTATGTAACATTGATTACTTATCATTCAACAGCCAGTTAGGTCTTATAACCTTTTTTATATTGAAATAACTAGAGCTGTAACATCTGAACTGTGGATTTTGCCACACTAAATGTGGCTGATGATGTAATAAGTTTCAGACAGTATAGTGTTATGTCATGCTTTTTAATAATGAATGGTTTTTAATATATATAAAAATTTATGCATATGTTTCCATTTTATAATTCCAAAATGCATAAGCTGATTCTCAGAGTAACAAATAAGAAACAGCTTAATTCTATTTCTCCTCTTTTCTGTCATGGTGCTGGTAGTTTTGGAATATCCCATTTCTGTTAAGATGGTGTTTCTGTTAAGTGGCTGTTAAGACGGTGAAAAAGATAACTACTTCAGCTGTGCATTCATTGCTTTAACCCTTTGAGGTTTGGTGCATAAAAAAAATATTTTTTGGAAAAAATAATTTTACACATAGATAATTAGCCCCTAATACAATTACAATGTTATTTCATGCAAAAAATAAATAAAAAAAAAATAAATAAAAACAGGTAAACATTTAAGGTAATTCATGATGTGGTGGGGTGCCGCTTGTCCCACCGTGCACCTAGAGCATTAAAATGGCATCTTTGGCACAGCGTAAATTCTCGTAACATTCTTATCTAAAGTGCTAGTTTTAGCAACCAAATGAAAATACAAGATATAAAAAACATTTTTGAATAATTATCTAGAAAATATTGATTATATTTGTAAAATAAAAAATGTTTTTTTCAAAAAAATTACATAATTTTAAAAGAAATTCTCTGTACGACTTTAGATATTCTGTAATGATTTCATAATAGATTTGAAACAGAGAAGATTTTCGCTCCAGTACTTTATTTGCTACAGGTTTGAAAAGGAAGGTATTTACATTATTTTATTACTTTTAAAACAACAGCAACTAGTTGCAGTTGTACTTAACATCTATCTGAAACATAATATATAGCAATTGTACATGCAGTAAACTTTTATAGAATGAGAATCGAAACATTTAATTATTTTTGCAAAAATACTTCATATCTGGAAATAATGGATTCCTCATACACCACTTCTTGGTAAATATAATAAACACAATATATATTGCGGTAAAAATTTAACATTAGATGAACAAATGCTGTCCTGAAAATTTCTCATATCTGAAGGATTGCCAGAAAGTTATCCAGTGTGGATATGCAGATTTCTGTTTGCAGATTGCACAAATCTGTGTGTGGTTAAGTCAAGAGTCGGTTCCAAATGTATCACTCTGGTTATTATACAAGCGAAGAGCAATACTTAAAAGTCTTCTTCTTGGTATCTCCATCTTTCAGTCCAATCGTTTGAAAGGGATATGCATTTGATATTCTATCAGCTGGCTGTTGTGCAGGAATCTGAGTTGCTGGCTTCACATGAAATTTCCAACATAGAATTGTTTTCTCCTTAAAATCAGCCAGTGTTTCTGCTACAGCAACAAAACTGGAAGTGCTGCTTGGTGAGAAACATCCGTGTATTGAAGACGCCCTGTGATCAAAATTATTCTTAATTATCTTGAATCAGGGTTTGTATGGTTCATAAGAGTCCTTAAAAGTTTTTAAGTTTTTTTTTTTTTTTAATTTATTTTTGGTCCTTAAAAGTCCTTAATTTTGACCAAATTCGACAGGAGGTCCTAAATTTTAATCATCTGAAATTTTTGTCCGTTTTTATGACTGCTGTTTTGAATGTGAATTAGCATTTTGAACAGATATAGTTATCTTTTGAATGGGTGAATAGGTTCATGGATTATAATTTGTTCCTACTTTTAATATAAACAGTAGGATACTCAAGTTTCTGAGCAAGAAGTGAAACATAAGCATTTTGAAATTATTTCATTTTTTCTAATGAAGAGCTCTTAAACAACTTCTCGCTTTTGGGAACGTGAATTCTTTATTAATCCAAATTTGCCGATTTTTAAGGTCAGTTTCTAGAGGAAATTTTTAATTCGGAAATCTGGAAATTTTTCGATGATATTTTTTTAAAACATTATAATATTGATCAGTTTTATTAACATAATGTTAATATATTGAAATTGTATTCAAGAAATAACATTAAAATGAAACACTATTATATTATAAAGTTTATTTTTTATTTTTCGCTATTATATAATAAAGTGACATTATTTTCCATTTTGACAACTTCTTATACAATATTTTGAATCTGGAAAATAAACAAGTTAATAAATGCTTAAATTGTGCTTTAGCACAATTTACGAAACAATTCTTAGCAAAGGCAAAATAGCTATGTAATAATTAAAGATGTCTTCATTTTAATCTTTTCATGTTAAGAGTCTTCCCCTTGTGGTTGTCTCAATATGCATCAGTTTTCTCTATGAAATTAATTTTACACTTTTTTCCTCTGATTTTTTTCAACTTATTTCTGTCTTTTTGCTGTTACAGAATTAGTAGGAGTAATTTTTCTTCAGGATTTTAGACATTACAACTTTGAAAGTTTAAAAGGATTTAAAGGCAAGATTTATATACCCAGGAATCTAGAAGATTCCAGAAAAATGTCTTCATGGTATTAACAGATAATGGATGTATTTTGCAGAAAGTTTGTGATAAACTTTTACTTTTTGGAGAATTTTCAGGACAACAATGAATGTATAATATTTCAATGTTTTACTTCTGATACTAGAAGTCTTTTTCTGAATATGTTTATCTTCTCAGAACAGCTTTAGCACCCTGGAACAGCCCACCCAGAGTTTTAGCCAAAAAATATTGCCAACAATTGCGATAAATGATATGATGTGGCAACCCACACCAGTTTACAAGCATGTGGTAACCCATACTATTTGGCAAACGGAATGTAAACAAATGTAAATTTTTTATTTCTAAAGAGGATGGAATTACGATTACAGCTAACATAATGGTCAATTACATTTATTCAATTTTAATACCAATTACCGAGATAACCATTTACTCAAAGTTAAATGCGCATGCCCCTATATTTTTAGTTTTCCAGTAATTTTTAATAGCTTTCTTTTAAAATTTGTCTTGTGCTGCATTGCATGGGGAAATATAACATTTTTAATTATAATTCTACAAAAATTAACTATCCAAACACAAAATTCGTAATGCTATTTTTGGCGATTGTTTAACACTCGGATATCGTGGAGAATACTGTTTTAGAAATAAGATTTTTGCATTTAGTTATGGATTGCTCTAAACCCGCTGTTAGTGATGTTGTAATTAAGTATCGGGAGATTTTAAAGGAAAATTTAAGGTGGGAGTTTTCAAGCAAGCATAAAATTTTGGGAGAGCCAGGCATTTCAAACAGATATGTTATGTATGAATTAACATTTGAAAAATGTAAGATACCACGCAAAGGTATCTTACATTTGGGAAAGCCAAGCAAAGTGAGATTTTCTGGCATTGTTTTAAAATTATATCCAAAACCTTAATTATTTTCATTAATCATTCCTTAATATTTTTTCTTTTAAAATCGCGTATAATAATCATAAATTTATTTCTATTATCTATGATTTCTGGTGAAATCAAGATGGCCACCATATTTGAAAAGCGGAGTTTTGTTGAAAATCTCGTTGGTAAACGTTTGTCAAAACAACGTACTTCACGTGCTTTGGCGGGGAAAAAAAATTGCCAAACTTTGAAGGTGGGCCATACTGAAGCTGTCTTTTGTTTTTTCTACTTTTTGGTAGACATAAGCATGGAAAATATAAAAAATGCTTCTAATCTTATCACATGGACAGCCATTTATGAAAGGAATTTTTTTATTAATAAAGAAATTGGAAACTGATAATTTAAAAGATTCATCTTATATGTTTTCAATGCATCATCAGTGGTGTAGTTAGGGTGGGACAAGGGAGCACATCTGTTTTTGGGTGCAGCATCCATTGGGTGCTAAATTCATGTAACAGAATTTCAGAATGAAATGTTTTTCATTCTTGGCATACAGAAAAGGTACAAAATCTTCAGTTGTCCTTGGGTGCTGAAAACCTCAGCCACAGCTTTGTGCATTATACACATGTACGCATTTCCCCACCTAATGCAATCTTTGTGAATCCTGAATACTGCTGTCTGGTGCCTTCCTAAATTCTAAAATTTTGCTATTAGATTTTGTTGCTCGGTGTGTCACAAAATTCTAAAATTTCTGCTACACTAGCTCTGTAACCAGCCTTTACCATATATAATTCATATATATTCTGAATGTTCATATTACCAAAGAAATAATATTAGCAACTTTTCTTTTACATTCTAAATATATTTAGGTTTTTAGAATAGCAGATATCTTTAATGAAATCTGAAAATTCTGAAATGAAGAGAAAACTTATTGAAGAAAGAAACTGAATACATAAAGAGAAAAAAAAATCATTCTTCAAAGATATGTACAGTTATTATTATGTAAATTAAGCAGTTGTTTATAATTTCAGCCTTTTCTATAAATTTCCCTTTCAGTTTCCTCACCAGAATGAAAATGTCTTAGATGGTGTTTAAACTAAGGTTTTTGGATTATAAGACAGAATTTTTTTTTTCTGGCCTCCGCTTGCAAGCTGTGTTAGTTCCTAACAGCTCTGGTAATTTGTAATTATTCGTCTTTGTGTTATTGCTGCCGATATTTTAATTTGTTATGCGATAACTACATTACAATGAATTATGAGTTTATTACATGTTACTGAGTTAGCTTAAATTAAAATTAAATTGTGTAGTCTTTGACTGCTAGTCCGTACTTTTAGTTTGAATTTGAACATTCCTGTTTAATTGGATCACCATAAGCTGTAATTGATTTTGCTAGCATGCCTCTATGTTTTGAGGTCTTTTTAAATAAGAGATTTGTTTAAATCTTTATCTGACTTTGTAGTTACTTTCAGACATAGTGATAGTTTACTTCACTTCTGTCTGTCAAGAGTTTTGGACTATTTAACTTTTATCAGTTCAAGTGAAATGTCCATAGGTACATAGTCCAGAGATTGATAAGTTAGGAGATAAAACACGCTGAAACTAGTGAAAGTATTAGTTTTCTTTTTCTTTTTCTTTTTTTATTTGAAAACATACAGACTCCCCATGCACCACAGATGTACAACACAGGGCTTACAGAAATAAGTTAACTAAAATATTAAAAATTACATGCATAAATAAAATGAACAAAAGCAGAGAACAGCAGTCTGGACTTCACGAAAACAGAAGTTCACCGGTTAAGTCACTCCGAACATCTTCAAATCGTTCTGCAAGCATAATCTAGGGTCATCAAGTGTAGGGCATGAGAAAATCAAATGTTCCACATCCTTAGGTACTCTTCTTGAATATTCACATAAATTGTTTGATCTTAGATTAAAACAAAACAGATAACTTGCAAATTTACCGTGACCAGATAAAAACTGAGAAACTTTAAAATTAATAGAGAGGAATGCAGTCTATGGTAAGAAGGAAAGAACTCTTTGGTGACCTCAGTGTTGCAAGATGAAATATATTACTCATTCCTCTTTGCTAAAAGCTTCTTATAATGAAAGGACTTCCAATAGCTCTTTGGAATGCTAACGTTGATATCAGTGGGTAAATTTAAGGCATCTTTAGGTAAGAAATCAGCTCTCATTTTCATATCTCATTTATTTAGATTAAAACCTATGCTGGAAATTATTAGTAAAAGCCAAAGAATATTTTTTGTAATTTTGAATTCTGTTATCAAATAAATTTATGTATATGTGATGTAAAACTTTCATTCTAGACTGATTGAAATATGGCTAACAAACCAGATGGCAAACCAGTACCTGGTGTTGCTTCTCAGGTACCTCCTCCATACACTCCAGTTGATCCACCACCAGCATATGCTCCTACTGGGGGTTATCCTCCTGGAGAAGGTATTAATATTTGTTTTTATGTGTTAAATATATATACATATATGACAGTGTTTTCAGTTACATTATAAATCATTTGAATATGAATTCCAGTAAAATATTTTGAATTTTTGTGAAAAAATTTGAAAACTGTATGTTGTTCACATTGGAATTCCCTCTTTCAATGTTACTTTTGAGTAATGAGTCCTCATACAAGTTAGCGTAACTATAACTTTTATTTCCAACTTTGTTAATTTTTTACCCATCAGAAATATTTATATTGTGAAATGCATCACTTCACAAAACATTGTTTTCCCACTCAGGATGTGTCTTGTTGATTCTTCCCTCGATTTCTCAGAATAATTTAAAAAGAAAATGTCTTGTCAGACCATGGTGCCCTTTGTTGGAAAAGGTAGTCAGCAATATTATGCATTATTCTTATTTTCCTTTCCTAAGAAGCTTTCATGCAGGTCTCAAAAGCTTTTGAATGATCACTCACTTGTATAAAGAAAGAGATGTGTGAAATTTAGTATCACATGTAGCAAATTGAAGTAGTGTGTAGATCAAACTCAATTTACTGAGTACATAAGCAAGTACATAATACATGTACGTAAGATATAACAAAGTATGATAGCTTCTTTAAAATAATTAGCAACCTCAAAATTAACATTCTAGATTTGGTGATCTTCCCCTAAATTCATCTGTTCTCCCAAATTCGAGATTTTTCAACATTACGTAATGCTGCTTGAAAAGGGTAACCAAAACTAATAACTAACCAATCATAGCTTGTCTCTAGAATCTCATCTACTCTGGTATACAAATCCCTGGCAGTTAATTATGTCACTTCTGATATCCTCTACCTTGCTAATAATGCCTCGCTTTGCTTCCCTGTCAAACTGCCTGCATCTTAATTTAAGAATCAGTGAACATAGTAATTTATCATATATCTTTATAATTGAGTCATATAAATGTCTCGGATTTCATTATGATTGGATAAACATCTATGGAGATGATTTTATATGCGTAGAAATAAAGATTGGAAATTCTTTAAGTTCATGCTTTGTTATCTCATCTGTAAGCCTTAACCACAGCCATGACGGACACCAAAAGCTGTTGAGAGTTCCAGCCATCGCAACTGTGCTTAGAAAATGTGACATGTACATAAACAGACAATTTTGGCAGAGATATAAACATTTTTCAAATTACATGAAACATTAAATTATCTATTGTGAAGAATATATATAAAAGTAAATTCCTTTTTTCAACAAAAGGAAAAGATTTTACTGAGAATCATTTAGAAAGTATGAATTTTTCTTTAGGGCATCTACATTTTCATACAAAGATACAGAACATTCCTTTAGATCAAAATTAAAAAGTTGTAAGGCCAAGAACCATGTCAGAAGATGAGTATTTACACTGGCATTAGAATTCAACAAATGATGGGATTATGATGGATTCATACTGAAAATTTGTCCATCAGGATAACATTTCAAGTTTTCTTACTATAAAGTGTATTCCGGTACATTGTTTCTGACTCTTTTGACATTGGAAAACTTGCTTCGACAGACAAAAGAGTGTTCAGATCTGGGGCTTCTATTCTGCAATCTGATGCATTGATTTGTAAATTGAGTTGGCATTTATAATTTGATGTATATAAAACCATAGATTTCAAAAGTACTTAAGATTTTTTTATAAGCTTTAAACCACTTAGCTTTTTTCTTATGATGTTTTTTTTTATGTTTATGTTGTTTATTGTATTTTATGAAAACATGTGAGTGTTGATATGATACCTAGCTAATCCTAGAAATGCTGTGATACCTCTTTTGGCAGTGGGTTGCACAAAGTTTTTAATTGCATCAAGTTTTGATTCAAAAGGATTTCTGTAATTTTGTTCAGAATACTGGACTTGATTGTTTTGTGAACTTGCATTTTAATAGTTTTCTATCTAGCCTTTTGAATGCTTCACTGAAAAAATCAATGTGTTCGAAGTGTTCTAGAAAAGAGTTGGAAAATATCACTATATTATTTAAACAGGGCATTAAAAATTCTTTGTTTCCTTCTGGAAGATATGAGATAAACTTATTAAATTCCTAAGTTGCATTCTTTAGCCCCAACGACATCCTCAAAGACTTTTATATTCCGAATTGTTTTGTAAATGCAGTAAACCTTGATGCAGCCTTTGTGGTCTGAAGATTTTTCTTTTATATAGATATCAACTATTTGAGTGATAGGAGAGTTTAAAGTCTTGACCAGGAAATAGTAATTTTTGAAATATGGATATCACTATGTGTTTAAATAATTTGGGCACATAGAAACAGCTAAGCTATCTTGTATAGGAACTTATTCCCAAAGATGTTAAAGCATATTTTACTTCATAAATTTATGGATCAAGATGTGGAAACTATATAAATCTAAAGAAGTGCTCATCAAAATTGTATTATGCATTAATTTAAGTTTCAATGTACTTTATATATATATATAGTAATGTGAAATAAAAAGTTTTATCTGTAGTTCTTTGAAACATGATCAGGACTTTGATGGAGGATATATCAGCAGAACTGTCATGTTTCAGCCCCTTTAGACTGTTTTTCATGTATCCCTACAAGGGAGGGATTGTTTGTTAGCTGTGACAATCATAATATCCTGGGAAGAGTTTTCTGAATATTAACATGAAAGAAACTGGTAGCAGTTTTACAGACTTGCTGATGCTTCACAGAGCTTTAAATTAATTCTGGATTATTAAACTTCTGCAATATGTGAGGCATGTAAAATACCCAAACCTTCCATATAGCTGTGCAGCACTTCTTGATTTTTTTATTTACCTTCAAAACTAAGGAGCTTTAAAGTGGATACTGTGTATTTAGTACATCATTAATCAGTTTTCTTTCTCTTGCTGATGTTTGTTTAAATAACCATATTGTGTAACTGTTTGTATGTTGTTTAGATAAGCTGCATATTGGATTTTAATCTTATTTGTGATCATTATGCATCAAATTTTTTAATGTATAATTATTTTGAATTTTTTTTATTATGTAATTATAAAATTTATTAATATAAAATACCCCTCTTTAAAAAATTTATATATTATAAATTGAGTTATAATAAGTTATTATAAACCATTAGAGATTTAAAAATGTTTGCTTTGTAAAATTGAAAACAAAATTAAAATTAATTTGAAGTATCTTTTAATTTGTAGATATATTTCCACGTTTAAATAACATGCTTTACATGTGTTTACATTGAATGGCCAAATTATTAAGAGATTTCCAACTTAGAGGTTCCCATCATAATACATGACAAACTGTATGCATGCTATCAGAAGTATACCAGATTAACATTATAAATAAGCTGACTCTCATAGCAGTCTTAATCATTAGGGCAAGAATAACCAAGTCTGATATTCAGAATGTACTAAATATTTTTTGTGTGTGTGTGCATTTGAACAAAACTATATTTCGAGTGTTCAGAGTTGAGCCCAAAATCTTCAAATGTAAAGCTTCTGTAACTGACAATGCTGTATGCTTCTGTAACTGTATGCTTGTTTATCAAAGAGGTAATAGGCACTTAGCCTGAGTTATTTGCTGCAAAACAAAGCTTGGCAGATTGCAGTTGAATATGATGCTGTGTACCAAAATACGTATATATTATGCTTAACATAGCGTACATTTTTACACTGGCTTTAACAATAAAAAAAAAAACCCATCTAGTGCTGTTGCTATTACCAAGGAACAAGGCACTGAGCTCAGGAGTACCAGAATATGACAATGGATAAAAATGCTTGGTTTGATAAGTATCAGTACTTGTTCCATCATGCTCGCAAGTTAAAGTAAAGTACAGTCAGCATAAATTCATGAACTCGATCATGCAAGTGGCAATCTCATGAGCAGGATGATAGTGGAATGATGATGTGCATGAGATGAATGACGTGTGAAATCAGTGTCTAAAAGAGTTACAGCTGTGATAGAAACTTGAAGAAAATTTATTGTTAGTATATTGTCCAATAATTTGGTCACTCCTATAGGAAAGCAGTGAGTGGAGTAAATTAATCTGATTTGTAAATCCTGTGCAAAGTTAAGAAGAAAAGGCTTAATGAAGAGGATGCATTGCAAAAATATATCATAAATGAGTTTAAATACGATTTTCTTTTTTCAAATACACAACAGGCAAAAATTATTAAGTGATAAAATCAAGTTTATGGAACTTGCTGGTCAGCACAGATTATTTTTTAAATTAATTAAGTTAAATATATATCGTGAAAAAATGCTTGTAGGAAAAAAGCATAGAAACCAGTTAATTTATTCATAAGGAGATTATTATTTAATTTTGAATCTCTTAAAATCTGGAAAACTAGCAGCATCAGAATAGTTTGTAATGCAGGGAACTCGAATGTAATGCTTTTGTAACAACTGTTTGAATTTTGAAAACTTTTTTATTATAGGAGTCCCACCAGCAGGCTATTACACAGGTCCTACTATAGGAGGTTAGATTTTTTTTTTTCCCTTGATGTATATATGTAACAGAATCTTGCATGAAAATTTAGTTTTGCATTTGATATCACTAAATGAAGTAATATATGTTTCTGTTTGTATTTAGTGTTTCATTTAAACATCATTATTAAGAATTCTTTAGTGTATTTAGTTAATTGTGTGAATTGCTGTATACCTAGAAACCCATTGCCTCTCAGAAAATTTCCTTTAAAACTTGAAAATAGTTTTTTAGATTTCCTGTTAAACTCATATAGCTCCTTTAGAAATTAGTTGCATGTTATATGCAATTTTATCATAGTATAGTTATTATTTTAAATAATTTTATTAAAAGTATAAGGTTTAAAAATTGATATGAGTATGAGGATATTTTCCAAATATCTGAGAATGGTAGTGTCAATGTTTCTTTGCTTAGATATTTAAATCATCATACATGTGAAAATTATTGCATGTTTTGTCTGCAGGTTGTAGGCCAATTGAAAATTGTATGTATATATAGATAGATGTAATATAGATTTTGGTTTAGTATGATTTTGTATTACAAGAATAATACAGTACAAAGTCCGTAATCCGGACTTGTCGGGACTTCGGCGATTCCGGATTAGGGTTTCTTCCGGATTATAGATCATCAATTTAAATCTGGTAAGATGGCATGCAGAAATTATACAATTAAAAATATGAAACTGTAATTTATGAAATAAAAAGCAATTATGATCTAAAGGGTATCAAATTGTACAAAAAAAAAGCTTAATATTTATTTGTTTATTTCATTAAACATTTCTCTTTCAACTTGCATGCGTAAAGCATATGCGCATAATGTATGTGCATTCTCTACACGCGTGCGTAAAGTTTGTGGCTTTGAGGTCCGGATAATGGATGTCCGGATTACGGACTTTGTACTGTATAGCTATAATGTGACCTTTTAGTTTACCTAGGACAACCAGTGATAGATGAGGTGATTTAGAAATATCTGGCAGAAAAAGTAAAGATAAGTAAAAGAAACCAAAATAAGCAGATCTTGAAATTGAGTTTTGAGGTAATACAAAATGCTATTAAGTTGTAGATAAAAGCATTCTACTGGTGTAAATTGTCTTCTCCTGTGCAGTTTCAAGTGGTATGCATCATTACACAAATATGGAGCTCTCCAACAGGCATTTTATCCATGGAGTTGTAGCTGAAATGGAGCAATTACTCAAAGGAGGTATCAAAAATAATTCCGGAGTGCCTCCTTTGAGCAGCTATTCTGTTTGCAGCCCCTTATATTCCCACCCCCAATGGCGGGCACTTACCTGTAACGGCATTGGCCGCTCCTAAGTCCAGTTGATTGCAGTGGTATTTATCATAAAAATTTTCTTTAATCTGATTGGCTTGTACATAGTGCAGAAAGCTAAGATGGCAGATATGAAGAGGAATTAGTTTTCAATTATGACACAATTTCAAAAAAGTTACTACGATTTTTAGAATGGAGAAGGGAAATTCTCATTTAAAAGAAGAATTAAGGGGCAATTGTTAATTTTAAATATAATTTATAGTTCTATATCCCCCCTGCCTACAAATAGATTTCAGTTTTCAGATCTAAGCATTTTGTGGGTAATGTATGAATAATTCTAATTTAATATCTTAAATGGAATGACATGCGGCCATTCCATTTTGGGCACGCGGCCGCAAAAAGGTTTGCCACCACTGTCCTATGCATAAAGAATTTGAAGTATGAGTATCTTGTGGGTAGGGATTGTGGTATTTTAAACCTCAACAATTTTTAAATAATATTTTAAGCCTCAACAATTTTTAAACTACGGCATAGAGTTTGGATGTCGGGAGTTAACTAATTTCTAGTAAATTTTTTGCTCTTCATATAAATGTGGTAGAATTCTATGAATATCTCCTCTCATTCACAGAATTCTATAGATATTTATTTGCACAAAAAAGTTTATGTTTCTGAGAAGTAGCAAAAAATCATTGATCGCAATTTGGAAATACAAAGGCTATATTATTGTTTTTCTAATACAATCAAAATTGGAGATTGTTGTAATATATATGTAGTATGTATTCATATATCAGGTGGCATTATTTTTCAGCAATTAGGTGTTGTTAACTACTGTTTCTTGTACTGTATGTATATATTAATTTTATGGTAATTATGTACGCATTACTATTGTAAATTATGTAACAAATTTGTCATTGTGCTGTAAGAAGTGCACAGTTGTGGACAAGCAGCTAAATATTAATCTTTTATCAGCAGAAAATGCTATTATGAAGATATGATGCACATTTAAAACAATATTGTGCTTTAAATAATTGAAAATTGATCTTTTTCAGGCAAAAGAATAATAATATTTCTCCCATTTCACTTTTAACTTTTTAGTCTAGAATGAAAAAAAAAAAAAAAAAAATGAATTTGATTATAAGTCTTTTTATAATTATGGTTTTCTTTCTTTCTTTTTTGTTGCAGAATTTTTTCAAAAATTGTGCAGTAAAATTATCTCATTTTTCTTTGTTGGGGTCACATAATAAATTGTATATTGTATTTAATAATATATTTTTATATCCTGAAATGCAGATTAAATCTTTGTATAGCACTTGATATGAAAAGTATTCCATTTTGAAAATAATTTATTAACAAATATTTATTTATGAAGGTTATCAAGCTCCACCCACTGTTATACTTGGTGCACCTTCTGCAGCAGGAAGTCCACGTAAGTAAAACCTTCATTATAAATATCAAAGTACCAGTTGGGGGGAGGTGGAGAACATGGATTAAATTAATGCAGTTCTTTAAAAGTTTTAAAATATTTCTGTGTTTGCTTTTAGTTTTTAAGGAATTTTGCTCAATATACTGCTTTACATGTTTAATTTTGAATTATAAGAAACCTTTTGTAAAGATTAATGTGTCTCAGCATGCAATTGTGGCTTAAATTACTGTTTTGTGTCACTTTTACGGAGTGTGATTATTTTCACCATTGTAAAATAAATTATATGAATACTTACAGTTACTATTTCTTAAACTTTTACTTTTTTGGGGGGAGGAGGTGATCGGAAAGGTTATTGAAATGTTGTCAGCCTTTGTATAGTAGTTATGATGTGTAAAAATGTTGAAGTAGTGTATCGCTTGGGAGGGAGATTCGTGCATTTCAACTTGCTATTGTGTACCTCTTTTAGGATGTCTTTGAATTAAGTACTTTTTTTTAATTAGCCATTGATTAAAGTGAATAAACATTTTCAATGTATACAGTCTTTTATTGAAAATATATTACATGGACTTCAGCTGTAGATAATTTTTTAATTAATCTGTGACTAATCCAAATTTTGTATTAAACTGGGATATGGCACTTTCTGTTTTTATAAAAATCATAAATTTATAAGTTTCAGATTTGTTAAATAATACTCGATAATTATGTATGAAGGTCATTATAAATCCTTTAAAAAAAGGTGGTAAAAGGAAGAAGGACATGTGAATAAAACAAGCATGTTTTAAGATTGAGCAATTATTAATGGTGCATATAATTTATAATCTCAAGACCTAAATATTAAATTTTGGCTAAAGTGGTTTGTCATGTAGGACTTTGTAGTGTAATAAATGTATAAAGTATATTGCATGGCTACTTGATATTATTGTGAAAGTGGTTCCTAAACGTTTTGACTTTGCAAAATTCAGAATCAATTTCTGCATCGAAGTTGCTTAGTCATACTCAATGCCTTATGAGTTACTAATATCTAGGAGTAGTGTTAGAAGGAAGAAGAGGGGACAAATAGAGTAAAAGAATGTAAAATAAAGAAATAGCTGAGCAACAGTGCAAAATTCATGTACAGAAATTATTCTAAATATTTCAGAATTCTTGATAATATCTATATTTATTTTGAACTGCTAACTAGTACCCATAGATTTGTTGCGCAAAGTTATTTCAAATTTTAACAAGTCAAACCATTTATATTACAATGGATTTTTGGTACCAGCAACAGTAAAAAAGATGCATAGAATAAACACTTCCAGTTTAATCATCATTTCCAGTTTTGTTAAAATGCATATTCGTTCAGTACTGTAAAAATGCCGAAATCTGGATGCCCAATATCTGGAATGATTTAAAATCCGGAACCTCCCAAACAGCAGCAGCATTTTTTTTAGAAATTTGTTTGCTATGTTTTATGCATGTGCATTTGACATTTTTTCATAATAAAACCCATTGAGTTCTGATTCTTAATTGTACTTTGGCACTGAATAAAACTACTCCATGTTGAAGAAAGTCTTTTATTAATATAAATCGGTATGATCAATAATTCGGCTGTGGCCTTTTTCTATGGCATACATCTCAAATGAAACATTCTAATGATGATAATTGTATATCGAAACATGACTGGATTTGCTTAGCAACTCAAATCCCAGATGCCAGTCTGGCAAATCATTTTTTATTATTTTTTGTTTTCATCACATCATGACTTTCGACATATTGCAGCTTGAGAAATGGCTCACCCAATGATGTCCACAACAACTTTTTAAAAAAATATTTGTAACTAACTCATAGGCCAAAAGATTACATTTAGTGCTGTTTGAGTTAATAATATTTGATTTGATTTTCAGATAAGCCCAGGGCTTTTGTGACTGAACTGAGTTTGAAACTTTTAAAATTAACAGAAGCACCAAGCAACAAAATTAAGGGATAGCAACTTTTTTTTAAATTTTGAGATGGCACCTGGTAGCAGAATTTAGGACCTGCAGCGATTAGCCCAGGCAGCAAAATGTCTGACGTTGACTTTGGTTAAGTCTTAAGTATGTGCAGGTATTTATTTACTTGAGACTTGGATAAGCCTTAAGAATGTGCAGGAAATAGATATAAATATAATAAATAACTAAACTAATTTGAGCTTAATTTCCTCAGCACTCATTAGAAGCAAAACAAAATTAAAAGTTACAACACGTCTTTAGTCGCCAATCTCATAATACATCGGCAATAATATACAGTGGATGCCAGCTAAGCTTTATGTTGATAGTTATAAATTTGAAGGTGTTTCAATATGGCAAACAAAATGTGAAATTTTACAATCAATGTAATTTGAGAACACATATGGAGATGTAATAAATGAAGGTGATATAACAGAAGTTTATATTGCAGTGACATCATCAGTCAACTAAATGGATGAGAAAATCTGCAGTATGGTCCTCAATACGGGAAATTTTGCTTTGAATAATGAAGAAAGTGATAGAGAAGTTGCTGAGGACAAAAGAACTTTGACAATTTAGTGGGAATTCTCAACATGACAATTACTGGATGTGAACAAAGAAACTTTGTAACTGAACAACAAATTATGTCTATCTGTAAAATTAAAGGGAAAGTATTAGCACAAAAAATGGAGCAGCATTGAAAAAAATATTTAATAAAGCAAAACAAATCAATGTTGAGCTTCTTTTTTTTTAATTTTGATTTCCTTAATGTCGTAAATGCATCATAAAAACTTTTTCATATTTTAATTATAATTGCTACCTGTCATCTTACTGTATTTAAACTGATCTAAAATCTGGAAAATTCCAAACCTGAAATCAATGAAGTCCCAATGAGTCTGAATCTTGGACTTTATATTGTGTTTATTATTCAAAATATGTATTATTTCTTTAAAAAAAAGTAATTTCAATTTAATTTTACTAATTAGAGGGTTCTGTGGTGCAACAGTAAGCCTAAATTAAGACATAACGTAAAATAATGTACAATGAGACATATAATTTAGAAGAAGACACTTAGGCATTTGCATCAAAAACAGTGGCAGGTTTCTTTGAAATGATAGATTCATTTCATACATTTTTCTGAAAATATCAGTCAAATATGCCAGTTTGCATACCCAGACTTCATCATTTACTGTGTTTCCAGTAGAGGATCTATAAAAATGCTGCTGCCTCTGCACGCAATCGTGTCAGTGTTTTTCCTCAAGACAAGCACTTTACTTCTGTGTATAACAAAAGGGACTCAGTGTGGCTTCGCAAACTTCACATACTAATTTGAAGAGTCTGCATTTAAGAACTTGTGATTTTATATAATTTGTTTTTATAGTGCATTTCTACACTTATAATACACTCAGAAGGCATTTTTTCAAGACTATTACCTGTCTATGAAAATGAGCTTGAACATGCAAACAAGTGAATGAAAATAATCCGATCAAAAAGATCCAAGGGATCATCAAACATTACTTTCTTAAACAGAACAAGGAGAGCAAACTTGATTTCAGATCCTTTCAGTGAAAGTTTCTGTAAAGCAGCCTCAAAATGATCATGTGCTGGGAAAGAGCAACTTATTTATTATATTTTTTCTTACCTTATTTATTGCAGTTTATTAATTTTATGGTCTTAAAATAATACAGTAGTAAAAAGGTGTATCATGAGAATAATGGAAAAAGAGTGAGGGGATCATAATTTCTGAAAGAGAAATTAATGATAATCTATAATTACAAAGTGAGGTGTAACAAAGTAGGCCTCCAAGTGATGAACCCTGGGTAATGTTAAATCTGCTACACCACTTATCACGTTTAAGTAACCCTCGCTGATAGAGAGCTGCCCTGTTTGTCATCAAGGTGATATGGACGGTGATCACATCAAGAACTGTCGTATTGTTTTAAAGTTTATTATAGGCAACTCTGTGGAGGCTAATTTTTATCCTTGCTTTTTTATACTCTCATCATTTTATTGGTTCGTCAAGACAGGCATAGGGTTAAAATAATAATAATAATTAAAGTGTTATTGAGAGAGATACATGGAAAAAAATGGGATCTGCTAACTTGGGCAAATAACCCTCATATGCTTTCTCATAAGCAATTAAATAGTGCATAAGGAAATGAATCATCTACCAGAATTAAGGTAAAATAACATGCCAAATAAATACTAATTTAGGAGTCAAACAACAAAATATGATGCTGAATTTGCAAATATGATGCTGATTTTTGTTGTTTGACTCCTAAATTAGCATCTACCAGATTACTGTGCAGGTATAAATATATACAGTGGGCAATATTGGTACTGGTGTATTTCATTTGCTGTTGTGTGTTCTTGCTTGGTATCTATTTTATAACATGCAAAATGTATATGTAGTATTTTAATTGGATAAAAGTAATTCAGTACTTTCAGCAGCTTGCAGTTATCATGGCCAAGGATGGATGTTTTGATGCGCTGCAGCTTGAAGTCTATGTAGTTAGATGCATGCATAAACTGCAAACTTCCAGCTGTAGCCATTTCAAAACATAATTTTATTCCATTATAATTTACATCAGACCATTTTTGTAGACAAGGAATTTATCCAATCATATTTAAATATGATAATTTTTATGTACACTGATTTTAAAAGTACCACATAAGCCTTTTAGACAGAACAGCATAAGCAGCACACAGTGTTTGCAGGGTAGAAGTTATGAAAAGAATGACTTATTGTTTTGCTAAGCAGCATTTATACCAAGTAGATGCATAAGTATGTCTAAGCTGCTATTGGTTAATTTTAGGTTGTTATGTAACATGGAAAGATCTCGAATTGCTTAAAGCAGCCATCATATTTTGTTATATCTTACATATATACAGAGTGCGTCAGAAAAAATGTATACACACTTTGAACTGTCGTAGAAAATTTATTTTCTAACTTACAAAGTTAAATTTCTAGAAAAGTAAGGCTGTAGTCCAATTTGAAAAATAAGTGTACTTTCTGATTAAACGGAATGTTCTAAATGGTGTTTAAAATAAATGTTCAAAATGGTTGCCTTCATCTATATATTTCTTAGCATGAATCACGACTGATTCCGTACATTGCACCAAAATGGGCTTTCTACGCACACCGCTTCATTCTGATCTCAAAACGTGTCAAGGTGATGTGGTTTACGACAGTACACCTCATCTCTTACTGTGCCCCATAAGAAAAAAATCGAGGGGCGTAAGGTCTAGAGAGCATGCAGCAAACTCGATTGGTCCCTTGCGTCCTATCCACTGGCCTGTTACATTATCACTCACCACTAGCACTCGCACTACATTCATGTGATCCCTGCCTTGAAGATTTTTGCAGTGATCATTGAAACAGTTCCAGCTATTAAAACTGAGGATTCATGTAATTGTTAACCTTGAAGGTGGATCAATCCCATACTCATCATCTCCACTGTCTCTAAACAGCAACAACATTGTCAAACTTTCGGTGCCATTTGATAAGCTGCTTCCACTCTTGGAAGTTCAAACATACATCTGCCCTGTCAATGTTATTCTCTTGGCATTAACTGGGTTGTGCAGTTAAACGACGACTCTGCTGCTACATGTTGAGGAAACATAATATTACTTTCTTTTATAAACTTAAACTTGTAGGTAACATGACAATAAAGTTTATATAAGAGTTCAAAGTGTGTATACATTTTTGATGCACCCTGTATGTATAGAGATAGTGACACTCATTTTAGAATTTGGTGGGTGGGGGAGTAAATTGCAGATTTAATTTAAGAGATAACACAGAGGTATGGCTCTCCCACAACTATCTTCCACCATGAGCAAAGACATATGCAGAATATTCTGGCATATATTTCACTGCCTGGAGTGACTGTAATAACAGGTTAACTGCCTGTGTTGTTTTTTAGTTTTAGTGAGCATGCATACTTACAGTGTTTTCTTGCACCTGCTGTTCCTTGACACCAGTGTACTAACAGTTTCTGCTACTTGGTAAATGAAATTCGTCTTAAAATTCTTGTATCAGTCCATGCCAGATTTGTGGAGTCAGAAGTCTCAGCTGCACTTCTGGAATCTCTGAAGATCTCATATTCCGAATTATAAACTTCAGTGCTATTAAGATCATTCTGTCTTGTTCTTTGTGCTTCTGTGTCATTCAAAGACTATTTTTTTTAATATATTATGGGTCCTAGTTGATTCTATTTTAGTACTAATAATATATCCACTTAAATAAGGGAGGAGACCAACTAATACCCATCTGGTAATAGTATAAATATTCATGAACATTGACATAGTGTACTTAATTACCAGTGGGTAACAGTATCTCTGTACTTACAAAATCAATGCCTGAATTCAAACCTAGGCTGAACAATGCAATTCTGATTGCTTAGGCTTAGGTTTGAATCCTGGAGAGGGCATGGATAGTGTCTCGGCTCATGGGGTACTTAATACTGGCAATGCTTACAGAAGTCTTGTTGCCTGGCTTGGTGATAGGGAAGGGCAAATCTCAGATCTATTCTCTGGGAAATCATCAAAATTGAGGCACAGTTACTGTGGTGGGACTATACCTGGTGAAATTCTGGTGTCCTGCCCATTTCTACCTATACCTGTAATGAATCCTTTTTAATGCATTTCAATTAGAGTGGTTGGCTTTGCTGACATATGCTGAATTGCTGTGACTGAAATAATTGGCATTCAACCTTGTAAGTTGCTTTGGATATGAAACTGGTAGTGAAATTTAATATTTCTTTTAAAATACTTGCAATTTTTTTATTTTTTCAACAGCTACAGTTGTTACAGTGGTTAATGTTGGGCAGTGGGGTCCATTTCCAATGCAAGTAGTGTGTTCTCATTGCTCAGCTCGAGTTATGACTGAAACATCTCTGAGTCCAGGATTGTTGACTTGGTTACTGTCTGGAGCTCTAGTCTTTGTTGGGTATGTTAATTTATCAAGTCAAATCTTTGCTTTGTGCAGTTAAAAAGTTTAAAAAAAAAAAAAAAAAAAAAAAAAAAATTCGCAATTTAACCAGTGTATAATGAAATTAGAATATGTTAGTAAAAATTCATCATATCAATAAATTTGTCAAAAAGAGTCACTGTAAACATAAAATTTTTAGAATTTTTTAATTTACTTTTTTACTAAGTTTTTTATTTTTGTTTCGAAAATAAGCTAAAATTAATGGTGTAAAGTGTAAAAAACCAACTTCTTTATAAGCACTTGTGTACAAATTTTGTAAATACACTGCTGATCAATCACAACACAATGTAGTGAGGAAATTTACTTTCTAAATTCAATTTAGAATTTTTTAATTGATGTTTAAACAATTTTTTGTACATATCTTCCTTTAACTAGCAAAGTAAATACTGCTGTTGTACTAGCAAAGTAAATACTGCTGTTGTACTGAATTCTACTGTTTGCACCATTGAATAGAGAAGAAAAAAATCTTCTCAAAGAAAATTGTAACTTAATTTTTAAATGTTTGGCAAATTTTTGAAAATTGCTAGATTTTTTTTCGATTATTTGATTATAAAATTTCAACATCCAAAAATATGTTGGATGTAAAGTTTTAAAATTTTCACAGATTTTAAAAAACGTTTTGCTATGTGTTAAAATGAGAATAATCAAAAGTACTGATTGAGCAATTTTCTACATTTTTTACAAAAATGTGTTGCATGCAAAAGCATTTCGGCAGAAAAACTGGTTTTGTGTTTGCCATCTTGATGCACTTAATGACGAAGTGTACTGTCTTGGCAGACTTAATGACAAATTGACAGTGCAGTGCAAAGTCCGAGATCTGGATGTCCAATATCTGGAGTGATCTAAAATCCAGACCTCAATATATACTTTGTTATGGAAGAAACAATAATTTAGCATAAATTTCTGTTATCAATAATTTGGCTTCTTACCTGCGTATCTTGCTTTCATCATCGTATGTTTATCAACACGTGACAACTTGAGTAATGACTCATGCAGCGATGCCCAAACAATTTTTTATAATAGTACAAAGAATATGGTAAACATTTATGCTGACATTATGCTTGGCAATGATTACAGATAGCACATTTAAGTGCTAAAATATTGACATGGGAAAATTTAACAAAAATTTCTTTCCTTATGCTGAAAATAGTTTTTATTATTGATACTCATAGGCCCAAAGATTATATTTAGTGATATTTGAATTAAGAATAACTGATTTGTTATTTATTCACATAAACCCAAAACCAGCAACAAAGCTTGTATGGCCACCCGGGCGGTGACAGAATTTAGAGAAGACAAGATTTTTAGAATTTAGAGAAGCACCAAGCAACAAAATTAAAGGATGAAAATACTTTTGTAATTTTGGGAAAGCACTGGGATCCAAAATTTAGGGGTGGCAAAAATTTAGAACTTAGGGAAGCCCAAAATTTAGGGGGCAGCAAAAATTTAGAACTTAGGGAGTCCCAAAATTTGGGGTTGGCAAAAAATTAAAACTTATTGACCCGCAGAGACTGCATCAGGCGGTAAAATATCTAGTGCCAGCCCTCAAAAAGCCTTAAGCATGTGCAAGAAATAGACGCAAGTATAATAACTAGCTTATCTAATACAGTCAGGCTTTTAATTGTTTCGGTGCAGGATAGAAGCAAGACAAAATTTAGTGGAACAAAATGTTTTTCATTGCCAGTCTCATGATATAGTCACTAATATATAGCGGAGACGCTATTAACTAGGCTAAAATTATACTTGACTGATTCCAAGGAATTTCAGCCAATATAGCAGACTATGCAATTCCTTAACTTTCTGATGTGATCCAGCCTATTTTGATCATGTTGAAAAGAGTTTCTAATTCTTAAGCTGCAACAGGATCTACAAAGCAAAAGCATGTTTCAATCATGGAGGTAAGAAAGGAAGGAGTGGCCAACCGGCACTAGAAGTGAAGCACTGCTTCGAAGCTTCGGTCACCAGATGGGGTGTTCTTTATTTACATTCAGAAGCTTGCTTGATATTGTTCTAATAGTATTTCGACACACGATAGTTCCATACAAATCGAAAAAGGGGCACTTTCACATGAAAGAAACATTCATAGTGTGATAGATAATAGAAATTTTATATTATGACATTTACGCAAAAATACTCTTGGCTATTTTTCGATAACTAACAACAGCGATTTTGCAAACATTTGAACTTAGGGACTGCATCAGTGGCAAAAAATTCTAATATCCTCAAAAGAAGCTGTTGCCAAGAAATAGTAAATTATAATCTCGCTATCTAATACTCAAGGCTTTTGCTTTGTCGTCAAATAGAACGACAAAATTTATAAATAGCTTTCATGCCAGTCTCATGATTTAGTCACAATATATAGGGAGAAGCTATTACTTTAGTTTTTAACAAATCTTTTTTTCAGGTCTATATGAGTATTAATAGTTAACGTTTCTATTAATGTAGGGGCTAAAAAATATCTTGAAGATTCCAAGGGAAATTTCATAAGGAGCAGACGATGGCCTTTCACATATGGTCAGAAAGGGCCTATTTGATTCACTTGAAAAAGTTTGCTCTTAGCGCGGTTGCAACAGGATCTACAATTTACAAAGCATGTTTCTTCATTTCTTAAGATTTCGAGGAAGGAGTGGCCAAAAAGGGGAAGGGAACGAGAAACGAGTGTCGGTAATAGAAAATGTATATTTAATTACATTTACAGCAATCACATCTTGGCTATTTTTCAAATAAAAGAAAAAAGGGGATTTTGATTATGAATTTGTTTTAATAAACAATTCTAAGCTGTTGAGACTATAATTTCGAATATAACAAATACATTTTAAATTAAAACAAGAAACTTATTCTTAAAAAGAAAAATAAAAAATGTTTATGATTAAAAGTCTTCGAAAACCTTTTTTTTTTTTTTTCGTTTTTATTTTATTTCTAAACGCCAAAACGCTAAATCATTACCACATATAGGACTTTAGCTGTTTTACATCTACACCCTTAACAGGCTTTCCTGTTTCATTTTAAATATATTTTAATTTTTTATTCTGAAATAATCCCTGTTGGCTTACCATCGTTTTCTTATCTGGGTCCATAAAAGTAAAATATTGATTGCACAGAAATTAAAGATTTGCACATGCCGGAAATGAAAAAATATATGGGTATTTATGCATGTGCTTGCAAAAAACATGTATCTGCCTTTAACAAAATACATAAATATTCATTAAATTATTTATAAATGTATTTGAAAGGGAGAATTTATTCATTTATAAACAACTGTGAAGAAATCTCATTATTAAATGTATCTAATTTATAATGATTATAAATGTTATCTAAATATTAATTGTAAACATAAATTGGAATCCTGTTGACAAATACGTTATAAAACTGTTTAAGCAAGAATTGTTCGTACTGGAAATCAATCTGTTAAAAGGTATTGTAAAGCAATATCCACGAGATGCGTACTTAAGAAAGTAATAAAGAAGAGTTTTGGAATATGTATTGTTGAAATTAAGGTAAAAAAAAATCTAATAAGTATAATTAAAAGAATTATTCCCCTTACATTTTATAATAAGTCAGTTACAAGTTTTAAATAATATTTAAAAAATAATCCTTATTTTATTCCCTTTCAGAAATATCAGAGAAAGTTAAGTACTGTTTAAAGTATTTCGCTTTTAAATTAAAAGGGTGCTCTAATTTGAAATGGGACCGAATAGAGCATTAATTATAAATTGACTTATAGTTTTTCGATTTAAAAGATCCTCAGAAGCTAAAAATCATGTCATATTTGAGAAAGTATTTTAGGAAGAAGCTCTATAAATAGAAAAGAAATAATGCATAATTTTAATATTAATAATACAATAGACTTTGATCTTAATTTTTGTACCTTAACCGAATAAAATCGAATTACCTTAAATTTTTTTTTCTAATGTAATTACCGAAAATTTGTGAAAATATTTCATTCAAATTAAACCATTCTGAGAAAACTGTTCTGCGAAACGTATATAGAATTTAATTCCATTCAGAATGAAATGTTGTTTAAAAATATGTTGTTTTTCATATACTTAGGACTCTGAAGTGTTGTAGAAAAGAAAATATATAATTTTATATGTATATTTACGACATAATTACAAAATATTTACATCTTATCGCGTCAAAACCCATTGAACTTAATGGTAAATGACCCAATGTTTTGGTCACCACGTAGGGATCGCCGGTGCTTCAGAGCAGGGTACGGAAGAAACCTGTTTAGGGCTACTCCATCTTACTTCCTACCTCCATGGTTTCAATGTTCATTAAACAAAAAGTGGTATTACTGCAAAAAATGGATAGAGGTATATCCATCTCAAAATTATGCGAGGAATTAAAATTAGCATTGGAAAGTCAACTGCATACGACATAAGAAAACAGAAAAAAGAACTTTTTGAATTTTTTGTAGATTCTGACACCCGACTCGCAACAAATAAAAGAAAAATTACTAGATTTGCTAAAAGTAAAGATCATGACAAAGTGATAATTCAATGAGTCAGACAGAGTCGCAGGGAGGACGTGCAATTGACGGGTCCAATGCTAAAAGCTCAAGCCAATATATATGAAGAAATGCACTTAAAAAGCTGAGTGCATATATTTGGCAGATTGGTTAAACAATTTTAATATCACCCGGTATGATGCAATTAAGATTTTCAGATAAAAAAAAAAAGCTTTAGCTGACACTGAAGATGCTGAACTATTTGCAGATGAATTCATTGAACTCATTAATAATTAAAACTTATCTCCAGAACAAATTTACAATGCTGATGAAACTGGTCTTTTCTGGCAATATGTACTGCAAAATACCGTGACAACCTCTATAGAAAAGGCTCTAACTTGTGTCAAAGATTCCAAAGTGAGACTAGCAATTTTAGCATGCACAAATGCTGCAGGAACACATAAGTGTAAACTTTTCACAATTGAAAAAAGTACACAACCTTTAGCAT